CTACACAATATGGCAATTAAAAATGGCCCTCTAATAAAATAATTTCAATAGTTGAAAAGAATTTGTCCTTTGAGCAAAACAGACTGCATGAAAAGAATCATGAAATGAGGATTATGCTTCTCTTCTAATAAAAAAGGGATGTATGTTAAAACAATGGTACGGAAAGCTGGGGAGTCTGACTGAAAACAACAGAAAGCCCTAGGCAATAAATTTCTCCAATAAAATGCATCTCCTTGAAGATACCCTTTCAAACTCTTGTTTTCTATTGAAATAACTGACCCCCCCCCCAGCCCCAGCACCTGGAAGTGAATCCTGTTTTTATTCCTGCATTAACATTAATTTGACAATCTTTCCAAGCCAGCAGTAGGGGGCTGGTTGAAGATCCTGTAGCTAATTGATGATCAATGCCATTTTAATTTCTAGTTAAAGGGAGTTGACATTATCCTGGCAGGCGTGGGATCTCACGGGGCTGGGGGGGTCCTTACTCAGTGACTTCTTCCAGCGTTTCTACATCCTGTAGCGTCTTTGTAATAGGTTCCCAGTTCTCCATACCATTCCCTCATGCTTTTGCGATAAGCCTCACAGCACCCTTGTGAGGTAGGTAGTGTTATGGTCATTTTGAGAGATGGGGATGCAGAGATGTTAAGTAGCTTGGCCAGAAAGAATCATGAACCCAGTGATAGTCCTGGGGGCTCTTATTCCAGATCCTTGTCTTTTTAGTACTTAACTATTCTGACTCCCTGAGAATGGATCATTAAAGCAGGTAGATCCTTAAAGCCAGATTAGTGCCTGGCAGTGGGACAACGAGGCCCATTTCTGAACCACATGAGTTGGTGATAGAATGAGAAACATGGAGGTCATAGACGTTAATGGGGAGAAAAGCAGGATTAAAGTTTGGGTCACAGTTTTATAATTTATTGATAATTTATGTTACTACAATAGTGGATACTCAGACGTTGCATGGCTAAGTACATGAATGGGCTAAGTACATGAAGAGCCTGTGCTTGGCTAAGTGGAAAATAAAATTTTGTTTATTATGTAAAACAAAAGATGGAGAATCTGATGGCCAATTGCTAATCAAGAAGGAAAAAGTTAAGTAGGTTTTTTTGATTTTCTGTGGGCATGTATTTGAGTTAATACTGACAGGATTTAAAGGTTATAAACAGATTTAAAATAATGAATTTAGAATTTATGCACATAATTGGTTTGAAACCTCACTTACACTTACTTAAGTTCAATATTGGAGGCCATAACACATAAGCACCATCCATTTTCCTACAAAATGAAATTCTCTGATTGGAGTAGTCCATTGTCTCGCTGGAAGAGCTTGTGTTCTCTAGGTCTTATCAAATCTACTTTGAAAAAAAAATATTGTACCAACACAGAGACATTCTCTTCTCTGCAATCACCAGCCATGTACACTTTTCAGTTATTTTCCATTTCTGTGGATCCATGTTTTCATTCCAGAAGACTCAGAATAAAAACAGCTGCCCCATGTAGAAACCATCATACAATATCAGCAAATTTCTTATAGCAGTGCTATGGAATTTCCCTGGTACTCCTGAAATAGAGGCAACTGGATTCTCCAAATGTTGCTAAAATAGTAGAGCTCCTATAAATCAAGCTAGTGGAACTGACTTGCTAATGTATTTTTGTTGCAGATTTGCTTTGTGCTTAGTGAATTAATTCCCAGTAGGCTGTATCAACCAATACATAATAAGACCTAAAGAAACTCTGGAAGCTATGGTGTGGATTTGTGTGTGTGTGTGTGTGTGTGTTTAAAGAAGCATTCGACGTTCATGAAAGTCCTGAAATGTATATAATAGATATAACCTAGAAGACTTTTTACATCCAGCTAACAATAGCCAATGGCTAAAAAGAATAAATGTAGTGACTTTCCTGTGCTGTGGTACTACCTCGCTTGATAGTTTGTGTTTAGCAATAATAATATAACCAAGGATCCTGCAGTTAGGGTTCCTGTAAATCCTCCTTTATCTTAGAGGGGCATCTGGTAAATAGATTTATCTAGCAATGTGACAATGAACAACATCAACAAATCAATATAGAACTAATGTTTGCAATCACATGTAAGACTTAGGTCTTTCAAGCAAAGGGATCACCTAGGAGTATGTGGCTTTCTTGTGGGGCTTCTTGGGTTTTCATCTCTCAAACACTGACTCCTCAGTGATAAGAGTTCTTTGCGGAGTTTTTCTTATCAGTGAGAATCTTCAGATAAGCTATATTGTTACTGCATTTCCCCCCATCATTCTCTATGGTCCTTAGCAACCTGTGTGTACCTGGCATTGCAATTGATAAGCCCCAACATTCTGACTTATCAGAGTTCATCGTATTATGAAAAGAAACACTGTCTACAAAGCCCTAACAAAGGACTTTCTTCCCCATTCATACTATCTGAGGGAGGGTCATAATTTTTGCATTTAATTGTTTGTAAGAGTTGATGAAAGGCACTAGAGTGACAAGTCCAATGTTTTCAGATCTTCTGCAGGTGAACTCCTAGATGATCCCATTAAGGTTTCGCAATTTACTTTTTAACTTGGCCTCATTCCACATTAATCTTTCCATCCTGCATTTTAGGGCTGACAATGAGGTAATTAGGAAAAGAGTATCAGCCTGAAAGGGAGTAGGAAGGAACTCCTAATTTTTAATTTTCTGACTATACCAAATGACACAGACACACTTATAGCCTGCTAGCTGGAGCAGAGTGCTTGAGGGAAATGAGAGGGAAACCAATACAGATGACAATGGGCTTCTACATTCGTGAAGGGCGCTTAAGCCCAGCCACCAAGCTAAAAGTATGTCCAGCTTTTGTTTAAAAAATTTGCCCTTATTGGGTCATCTTCTCATTATTTAAGAGCAAGTCCTCACATACTGGGATCCTCTTATCCCTGATCAGTGAATTGGTTGGACAAACTGTCTTGTGGTTTCTTAGTTGGGAGAAATATATACCTACCATGTTAATAGGAACTTTGCTCTAGTCATGTGTGTTTAGTACTGGAAATGAACGCCCACTGTCTGAGATGTGGCTCTTACTCATGAAGCACTGGCATACGCAGGACATCTTCAAGGAGAAGGAAATCCCTCTCAGGCAACAGGCTCTTCATTTTTTAATTAAAGAAAAGCAAAGGGGCCTTTTGTGAATCTTTGTCAGAGCCTTACGACTTGAGTACTTGCTGCTGCCTGCCAGTGAATCCAGGGTTTCCTTGTCATCTATCAAACTGGTTTCCAGGTACCACGTCTGTCAGCTTCCTGCTGCTGCTTTCACTGTCTCCTTCCTTACTGAAAATTGTCTAAAAAGCTCTAAGCGATGAAGATGAGGCCATAGATGCTGACAGCTCCCTGAACACATCTCCCTAAAGCTCAGCCCCTTAAGGACCAAGGAAAGGGGAGAACAGCACCCTCTCTCACAGCAGAAAGAATAAACAAGCACAGGTGTTCCATTTTCAGTTCGTTTTTTTACCACAAGACAACTTTCTTCTTCCCTCCTTCCCCAAATTGCCTGAAGATGAAAGAAATGTTTTCCTTTTAAAGTTTTAGGGCCTCCTTCTCTTACATGTTGTCTTGAATCATTGACAGCTGACTGATAGTTAACTCATATTATCTAAATGATGATGTATGTTCTGTGGATGGATTGTTGACCCCTTCAGTTCTTGTGCAAATTTATTTCATCCTAAAATTAATTTCACCCTAAAATTATGCTCATCATATGTAATAAAGTCAGATGGATTTGAGATAATTTTGTAAGTGACAGTTTACAAGCGCAGAATATCTTTATAATGTGGTTGGTATTACCTAGATTTGGATATCCCATAGGCAGGCCTTTGGCCCTGTGGAAATTTTGTGCATGAAGAAATATAGCTTGGCCTCTGAGTAATCTGTGTACTCTGACATAATACTTAGATACCCATGGACCTTCTCTGATCAGAGTTATTTGTGGATTATTTGAGCTAGTAACAGTGCTAAAGCTATGTAAGCAACCTCAATTTTCTGTAAGATTCATATAACCAACCTCTCTCAAGAAGGAAGTATTTCCTGATATGTCTCTCCATTTATGTTTATTAATTTCATTTCTTAATACCCCAGTGGATTTAACTGAGATGTCAAATGCTTAAGCCCTTTACATCAGTAAAGAAAACATGTTTTCTTAACTTATTTTACATGTTATAAAATAAGTTAACTTGTTTATACATGTTATAAAAGCCATGCCCACCACAAAAAAATCGTAAGTCATGAGACACAAACCTGAACCATGATACTTTTGTCAAACACTATGTGTGTGTGTGTGTGTGTTTAAGAACATCAATGATCAGGCATTAAATTTTTTCTTTGTAGATTGTTGGTTAGTAGTTTCCAATCATGGGATAGTCCCAGGATAAGATTTTAATAAGACATTAAAGAAAAAACACAGACACATTCTTTTCCCCCCTCCTGCTCAAGCTTATCAACTTTTAAAGCAGTTACATTTAAATACTTAAAAAAAATCAAACCACCCTCCCCCACATATTTATATATGTATATATAAACAATAGTTTTTAAACTATGATTTGGGCATTCCATACAAAATGGGGAAAATAAAACACAAGACAACTGATATGTGTATCAGTCTGTGTGTGGTAGACCTGATTTTATAACTGGGAAGGAAAAGAACATGTTTTCTTCCAAATAGCCTCTGGACAAAGTTTAGTCATTACTTAATTCCTGTCCCATAAATATGTATATGAACAAGTGGGTTGCAGGACCTACATTGTTGTAAAGATAGGGAGAAATTTATTTTACAATTCTGAGTCTCATGTTTAATCATACTTTTTGATTAAAAGGTATTGTAGATTGTGGTATATTTCAGTGGAAATTAAAGTTATTAAAGCAATTCAGAATAGGAGGTGTGCAACAACATGATGAACATTAAGGTGGCAACCAATTTTGTTTTCTTATTTTTTGTCATGATAGAATAGGCACAAAATCTCTGACCCTTTATCAGTATGGAAGTTATTTTTCAAACTTTATTGTAGTTAATATAGTTAACCAATTTAGTAGAATGTACATTTGCATTTTTTGTTGTCTTCTAATGGCTATTTTGCATATTAAAGGTAAAACCTTCTTAAATATGCAGTACACTCTTGATTATGCCAGCTCTTTGCTCATTCTGCTAAGGCTATAAATAAAGCTTCTATTTCAGGTTGGCATTATATCAACCCACCTGCTTCTAGAAGGGAGAAAAAAATCAGAATCACTCAACCTGCAGATTGCTGTCAGCTTGTGATTATGTGAATGGTAAGTCTTAACTTTTAAAGTGTTGTGTGAGATAGGCTGGAGGTTTTTTTTTTTTTTTTAAGCAATTTCCAGTTTAACAGTTACCCAAGAATTTTTGAGTACCAATGAAAGAAGACTCATCCCTGGAGAGAGCCTCATTGATGAGGTATGACAGGGGCCGGGAGGGGACTTCAGGGAAGGAAAGCAGAGCGGGAGGAGGGATCACATCAATTGTGGAATCAGGAAAGCAGGCTCAAATGTGAGGGGGCTGCAGAGCTTTCCTCTCTGTGGACTGTCTCAGGGACTTAGCAGTCCCTGCTCTTTATGTCCTCCTTATTCAGTGATCCTCCAGGGAGAATGAGGCAAGAAAGCAGAAGTACTAAAGACCTTTGCAAACGGGAGGACAATTGAACACAAAGAATGTCTTGACCCAATTCCCATATTCTGAACTATTCTGAAATACGGGAATATGATCAAGAGGACCAGCAGATCCAGGCCTGTTTTAGAAAAGTAAAACTGTTACAAAGTTCTTTTTTCCCCATGGACACTTTATCCTAAATAATCTGTTGTAAATTCTTATCTGTGAGCTTTACATTCTCTTTTTTTTTTTTTTTTAAGAAAATAGGCAGTTGCATTTTACTGCATCCAAAACCGACAAACTAACTTCAGATTTGAAAACCTGTCATTAATTCATTCAAATCCTAGTTTCTGTGACCAGTTTAGACGGCCCCAAGACCCAGTTTTTGTTAAATAACGGCAAAACATGATGGCAAATCTCTATCATGTTGATCTTATAGACTGAGAGTATGAATCTGTCCCTTCTGCATTGTCATACTTTTGTCAGAGTGAGAATGAGGAATGAGGGCCACTGTCTTGGTTATGTTTTTTTTTTCTTTTTCTTTCTTAAGGGAGTAAGGAATAAAAGGAAGAAAATCTGAGAGGTTTGTGTCAGGAGTTTGCCCAAGTACTTGGAAACGCACTCTGGTGCCTGACCAAGCCTTTCAGGCTCCCCACACCTACAGGCAGAATAACTCCATCTGCTCAATCAGAAATCAAAGATTTCAGGAGAAAGGGGGCCGTTCTCATAGCCAATGCTGGAAAGTTAATGGAAAAATCAGACCCTGTTTTGCTAGTGCCATAGGCCATGATTCCAGGATCTTACTCTCAGTAATAAATAAGATTAAATATTTGCCTAAAAACTGAAAAGAATAAATGGCTTTGACCCCAAAGGTTTTGTTACTTGGTTCACATGTCACAAATGCCATTTGGAATAGCTCATGTGGGCTATGTCAAGGTGACTAGGATGTAGGGAACATGAAAAAAAAAAATCACTGATGTTACAGCGAGCACAACTGATTCTTCAGTAATGGCAACTACAAAAATTGGTAATAAAGGAAACAGGTTTAAATACTTAAGTATCTCCCTCCAACCTTACTTTAGGTCTTTCCAGTTGAAAATATACTTTATTTTCTTTCCCAGAACATCTCAAGACATATTCTGTGTTACCAAACAGCCTCTGAGCACAGTCCCGGACGTGAAAATAAAAGTCTTGACGTCAAGATGAAGGAAGACCCTGGAAAGGTGAATTAATCGGCATGAGGCTCTACTCAATTTTTCTTTAAGATTGTATCCTTTTTTGTATATTTTGATATCTTAATATAGATGTTTCTACTTGAGTCATGGAAAATGACAAAAGTCAGTGAAGGTAAGATTTAAATAATCCTTTAAAAAATGTCAGGAGATTGTAACTTCTGGGCTCCTCTGAGAACTGAGGAGAGCAGCATATTTGCTATAACAAAACCTGAAGGATTTTGTACTTTCAGGGAGTAGTTGGTGATAAGCAAAATTTCTGGTAAATATCAAGTACAAATATGAAAGGCTCATAAAAATAAATGCAATGAAAACGAAGAGGTTAAAAGTGAGCAAAATGAGAATCTAGAAATGTAGAGCTCTCTTGCTAGAGCATACTGGGAAATCATTTGGTGAGTTGTACTCTAATTACCAGTATTTCAGACGTTTGGGGACATGTTTCAGTTCTCTCAGACTATCAGTTATTATCTGGAGTTACTCTTTTCTTGAGATTTATTTTTGCTCTCCAGGCATTAATTCTTTGAACATGCTTCATATGCAGAGAATTGGTTAATCTAGAACTAAATATTGGGTCAAACAATAGCATTACTTTTTAGTATGCTTTGATAAAAATCATCTGGGAAGATGACTGAGAGAAGTACTAAGGGGAAGATTGGGCTTAGTAGAAAATTAAGTGACCATCCAATTACATATAAATCTATATTATAATGCTTCAGGCAAAAAGTAGATTCTCCTAAAAATATTTGGTTAATACAATTCTATGATCAGATCTCTTATCAAGTGATTGATATTAGTGATCTATAGGAATCCATTTCGAATAATTCTATTAAAAACATTGAGTTTCAGAAAAGTACACTAAGTTTTAGATGACAAATCCTTTAATCCAGGATTGACAAACCTGGATTCTATGGAGCTCTGTTCTAGAATGTAGTAACTATTTCAGTATCTTAATAGTTCACATCATGAAAAGCAGTGCTTCATTATTAAATATCTTAGAGAATCCCCAATATTACAGAAAATTTTTGTTTACAGGATTTTTCAGAGGATATATGAAGCTCACAGACTTTGAACCTTTAAGTGGTCACCAAATGAAGCCTTTTCCCCAGTTTTTAGTCTGTGATTTTTTTCTGGAAAGATGCTCATTAATACCTTAAATAACATCATTCCATGGATTATATATGGAAACCCCTGGGAGATGCAATTTTTCCTTTTCAAAAGTATTAACAACTAAGTTTTAACTTTCTTTTTATGAATAGGTTAAATTTAATCCAACTTCATTTGATTTAATTTGTTTGGTCAAATTTTTTGACAGATAACAGAACCACAAGCTTTTATTAGCTTGATGTTTTTTATTTTTTTAACTGGACTATCCCTACAGTGATAAAAAATTAAGACAAAATATATTCTAGTAACTTTCAGAAGACTATACTTTAGCTTTGTTCTTCCAAAATTTTTTCATAGAAGTTGCATTTTCATAGAAGTTGGAATTGTGATATAATTTACTACATATTTTGATTTACATTGTTAGATATAAATAAGGTAATTGAATTTCTAAAAGATACACGATAATCATTGGGAAAGTCAAATGAAAAATGACTCAAACAGGTGATTTTTCAACCTTTATATTTCATTTTCTACCTTTTATTAAAAGAGAAATGGGTTTAGCCATGCTGCTATTCACTTAGCAAAATAATTCCTGGAGCTGTCACTTTTTTATTGATATCAATTTAATTTTATTGAAGTTCTTCAAAATTTCAATTAAATGCCAGCTTTTGAGTCATAAAAAAATCCAGAATTCTTCTACTCCAGCTAATGTTTTTCAAAGGGGGGGCTCACTTTAAGATCCCTTTCATATATACACTGTAGAAATTTCTGATCTCTTTATGCAGAATATATAGGTCACATTTAGGATGAATATATTCTATATTCAATGTCTTACATAATTTAAAAACCATTAGCCCTACATTTAGCCAAATGGATTTGTGTCCATTTGAACCATGTTGCTGGTGAGTAATAATGATTATTTAAAAAAAAAAAATCTATGCAATATGGGATTAACAGTCATCAGTACAAACTGATTTGGGCACCAAACTTGGGTGAGATAATTAAAAGTATATGAAAAATTTAATGTATTTGCAGGGATCTAGTGGTTTTCCTCAGCAGAGAGAGAAGGTTGTTTTTTTAGCCCACCTTGTTTAATCACTAAAAACAAGATGGATTCCTCTTGTCCACACAAGATCATTTTTCAAATACAAACTCATATATACCTAACTGGTAAGAAAATAGGGAGGGACTCAGTTTCTCATTCAAAATAGAATCCCATGTACAGTATTTGAAGAGAGAACACTGGAATGGCAATAGCTGAATATTTCCTTCGTCTGGCAGCAATCCAACCTGCAGACAGCTATCCCATGGGAAACAGACCTGCATTAACATCACGTTGTGCATGAATCACCAGGGGTCACCCCAGTTTGTGTTGGCATCTGAGGAAAAGCTCCTAATTCAGAAACTTTAAAAACCTGACTTCGTGATCTTGGCTATGAGGTGAGTATTAGCCCGTCAGCCCATGAGCAGCAACTGATGAAAATCAAGTTACCAAATTGATCATTTTCACTTTTAACACCTACCTTGCATCTCCCAGGGACTAATAGTGGCACACCACTGTCTGGAGAAACCAAGGGCTTTATTACAGTAAACTGGTCCAGTGTGATATCACAAGTATAAAAAATATTCCATTCTGTATCAAAACTAGGCACATGCCTTTATTATAGTAACAGAAGTTAACAGAGCTGAGCAGTTTTGCCTCGGGTCCTGTTTCTTGGCACCTACATCAGACAAGTGCATCTTCAACATCTCGCTGCCCATAACTCCAGGGATCTAGTCTCAGGGTTATCTGTATGGAAAGGAAGGTGAAATCACACTGGGGTCTATTGTGGTGAGTAACTAAAAGCACAACCTCTCATTCATATTGCTTTAAAACATATACAGCATATATGTTTAAAAAAAAGAATAAAGAATATATTGATTTCTCTGTGGTACTGAACCAACAGTATGGTATGATGCAAACCTTTAACAAATGGTAATCATAGATACAAATTTTTCTGTAGAGTATGTTTTAGACAAATGTGTCTTTTTAATATGTGAATCCTACATTGTAGGTGGTTCTTTTTATTTTATTTTTTCCTGTTGTTTTGCAGTGGTAGAAAATGCTGAATAATTGTCCATGAGCATGAGCCAAAGGTTCAGGTTCATTACTGAGATCCCCAGAATGCCAATATTTGCAATGCAAACAATTAGTATCCCACTGTGAAGGGCTCTGACACATGGCTGCCTGCCTGGAGGTGGGGAGTCTCCACAAGAAGTCCTCCTCTTTCCAAGGACCCTGCTTTGACACAGGGGCAGCTGCACTCAGCTGCCTTGTAACCTAGTCATTTACTGTGCCAGGCCGCCTCCTGGTTACCAACAATGACACAGAGATGGTGGTGTGAATGGTCGACCCTCAAATCATTTTCATGTTGAACCGTCTGGGTGCAGCCACCTCCCCTTCCACAACAGCACCGTTGTTTTTTCGAGGTACATACTCGAGGTCAATGCTGTTTTTGTGCTTGCCTTTCCCTCGGCTCCATACGAAAAGGAGGAGAAAACAAAATAAAACCACTCCCAGGAATGTGAAACAGCCCATAGCTGTAGACACCAGTATTGTTTTAAGGTCCAGGGAGAAAGTATTGGCATTGGTGCCATTAGAAATGGTGTCGTTGGAGTCGGTCATGTACATAGGGGTCCTGTTCGCATAAAGGAAGCGGTCTGAAGTGAATCCCTTCACAGTCAAGGAGGCCGTGAAGGTGTCATTGCCAGCAGCATTGCTAGCGATGCAAACGTATATCCCACTGTCTTGATCTTGGGCGAAGCGGATTTCCAGGGTGCCGTCCCCCAGCACGGTGGCTCTTCCGTTGGACTTGGTGGTGATAAAACGCCTTCGAGGTGTCACCCAGGAAATGACAGGCTGCGGGTCTCCATCAGCACTGCATTCGAGCTGGACCGTCTGCCCTTCATCCACCAGCAGGTGCTGCAACTTCTTTTCGCGGATTTTGGGCTTTTTGCAGGTAAAGTAAAAAGAAAGGGCGGTACTGTGGAAATCCTTGAATGAACGCTCGCGAATGGTGTCCGGGCCAGCACACATGGGCTGCTGGCCCCCGAACTGCAGGGTGGGGTGCCGCTGCAGGATCCAGAGGAGGCGGCAGTCACAGGCCAGTGGGTTGTTGTTAATGCTCAGGACCTCCAAAGCCCTAGGGGAGGAGAAGGCATTCTCTTCCAAAGTTTCCAGTAGGTTCTGAGACACGTTGAGCACGCGAAGAAAACGGAGCCCTTGGAAGGAGTGAGGCTCAATGGTGCGCAGCTGGGCGCCCACTATATGAAGCTCCTGAAGGCGGATCAAGTCCGAGAACATGCCTGCTTCAATAGTGCTGATGGGATTGTAGGAGAGGTTAAGGTGGGTCAGATACACCAGGTGTTTAAAGGCTAGGAAGGGTACAGTAGACAGGTTGGTGTTGGTGATGGACAGTGAGGTGAGGTTGAGACCATAGAGGCTATTGGCAGGCATCATGTCTAGCAAAGGCCAATAGTCAATCTCTAGGTGTTTCAGGTGGAACAGTCTTTTAAAGGCATACACGGGCATATTGTTGATACTGAGATGCTTCAAATGCAGACTGATGAGGCTGCGGAGGTGGGAGAGGGCTTCAGTTGGTACTGCTGTTAGATTGCATTTCTCCAGAGTGAGCTGCTCCAGGCTAAGCAGCCCACTGAAGGCCCTGTGTGATATATAAACCAGATCATTGTCCCCCACTTCCAGAGACTTCAGGTTATGCAGATCCTGGAACATGTAGTCCAGCAAAATGACAATCTTATTCTCACTAATGTCAAGCTTGGTGAGGTTGGACAGCCCAGTGAATACCCCCAAAGGGACCAACTTCAGGCGATTACCCTTGAGGCGGAGAGAACGCAGGTTAAAGAGATTGTTAAATGCTCCTGGCTCCACATTGGCGATGATGTTGTCACTCAAGTCTATCTCCTCCAGCAGAGGGTACGATATGAATTCTTCAGGGTTGACGCTTTTTAGTCTGTTCTTACTGAGATCCAAGATTTTGGTCTCGATGGGAATGCCCTCTGGGATGGCGATCAGTCGCCTTCTGTGGCAGCTAACAGATTTGTTTTGGGCAGAGCACTCGCAGCGAGCAGGGCAGCCGATGGTGGATCCCATGAAGACTAACACCACAGCCAGACCCAGGAATGGCTGCCAACATGATACGGCCGTGTGAAGCATGACTCCACCGCTTAGTCTACACCTTGGTCAGGAGCCTGCAGGAAAAAGGGCAAAGGGAGGAAGGAAAATTGAGTTAGGACATAGATGGGTAGAGGGAAAAGATACGGCAGCAAGTACAGTGGAAAGGGCTTTGGATTTGCAGTCACACATTGGACTACAGCCTGTTCTTAGCTACATAATGCTGGTTAGGTTACTTTACCTTCCTGCACCTGAGTTTTCCTGGCAGTAAAATGGGAGTGATGGGGATAATAACAGTTGTCTTTCTCACATCAGCACAGTTTCAGTATTTGGCAACAATCAATTGTTCCACACAGATGTTCAGGGAAAATAGCATTTCCACAGAGGGCTCTAGTTTGAACTCACATGAAACACATCAATGGCTAAGAGGATAGCTACGCAGCTTGAATCAGTGTTTGCATCTCTCGTGCTTAGCATAGTCTCTGGTCAAAGTGGTGCTAATAGAAACTTCATTCATCATCAGCCTTTAGGGAATTACAGCACAAAGTTTGCTTCAATGCAAGATGAGTATTTCCTTTCACATGTGAATATTGTATTAAAATGATTTTCAATTTTAAGGTATAGCAACTGTAAAAGAATGGTCTATTTAAATTGTGTATATTTAAGAAGAAACCATAAACAAGTAAATGAGTTCACAACTGTAGTTGCTGAGTGGAGGATATAGTTTAGATTCATATAACTATAAAGAATTAAAATAGTCAGGAAAAGAAGTATCAATGGGAAATTAGGCAATCATGTGATAAAAAGAACTAAAAATATATTCAGCCAGCTTCTTTAAGCAAAGACAAATTAAACCATGGGGATACATCATTTTTTTTGCCCATTAAATAGTTTCATAGTGATTTTTATTGAGAACTTTGTTAGTTTTATACCTTGGTATGTTTAAGTATCAAATTTTGCAAAATGCTTTTCTGCATCAATTAAGATGACATTACTGTTTCTCCCTATTTTTTTTTTTTTCTAAAAGATTTATTTATTTGTGCATACAGATTTGGGTATAGGCCAGAGGCTCAGTGGCTATAAGAGGATTCACAAGAGACAGAGTGGGGAGTAGAACAGGCAGATGGACAAAGCACACTGCTGAGGGGAGCAGCAGGCGGGCCAGGAGAGGTCTGCCGCGCCATGTGGTC